TGGTGTTTTTGATCGGCAAGCCATATCATCGTTAATTCTTCACCAAATCTCAAGATTGAGCCACCAATTTCGAAGGCTTCCTTCTCCTTCAGGCGGGTAAAATAGTCCAATCACCCCGAAAATTCAGGCAAACAAGTTATGAAAGAAAAGAAATTTTATTTGCGAATAACTAAAACATTACACACTTTTTCCTCGGTTATTCCCATGATTATATAAAACATTACTGAATTATCTACAAAAGGAAAAAAAAATCATTGAAATCGGACAATTTTTCGCAAAGATACAGCTTATTGAAATTTTTAAATATATTGGTTCCAAACAAAAATGATGATTTAAATTAATTTTGTTTCCTTTGTTGATTATATTGGTCGATATAGTAAGAATTGATTCCTTTATCTTTTGATACCATGCATTATTTTATTTTCTTATTAATTTAGCACTTGATAACAATATACTGTGCGAATTTTTTGCACGAGCCTACTAGTATATATATAGGCTTGTTAAAATAGAGAACGCTAGAGGCCATATTTAACTTACTAATGTTACATATTTTTATCGGTTTTAACATTATTAACAGGTTTACAATAATTAGCACAGTTTCCACCATTATCCCTATTATTTAATAATTAATAAGTGATAATAATACTAATGAGCCTCATGTCCACCCATAACGATTGCCAATAATCCAGTGCCTTCAAAGAACTATGTACGGTACCTTGGACTCTATTTAGACAAAAGACTTACTTGGAAACATACATACGAAATTAAAAAGACAAGAACTTACTAGACGATATAGCCAACTTTCACATCTTCAGGACTACAGATAACTACACTTAACTTACGAAACAAGCGACTGATCTACAACACCTTACTGAGACCAATATGGACATATGGAGCAGAACTTTGGGGTTCAGCAAAACAAACACAAATAAACAAAATACAAACAGCACAATACAAATTTTTACGAAAAATTGTTAACGCATCTTGGTAAATTTCAAACACTACTATACATAACGACTTAAACACCCCAACAGTAAAATCCTACGTCCACGACTAATACACTATATTTCATTCTACAACCCAAAATCACTCCAATCATCTGATTCTTTCTATCTCCTGCTCCCTGTTACCTGAACAACGCAGATTAAGAAGAAAATGGCCAAGAGACCTACTATATCAATGAAAACAAAATCAAGCAAATACACCAAGACAGTATAAATAACAAATTTGCTAGATGCGCAGCCGCGTAGGTGCAAATTGTATAAAATATAAATAAATATAGATACCCATTAAAATTTAAACTAATGAGAATCGGATAAGAACATTTTTTTTTCTATTATTATTTTCTTGTGTGCTACTTACTCCTTGAGTTTAACTCGTTCTGGATTATCCTGTACGAGCTGTTACGTTCTCATAATTCGGATGGTTTACACTCCCAACTACCTATTATCTAAACCTACTGGAATACTTGTTAAAGTAAAAAGACACTGAAAAGACAGCGAGAAGAAGAAGCAGAAGACATAAAGTTAATAGAAGAAGGGAGAGAGAGAGATTTAAGGAGACACTAAGTGAAATAGATAAGAGAAGGACTCGAAGTGTAAGGTCGGTGTAAGGATCGGCTAAGCCGAATTGCCCCAACAAGAGCTAAGCCCCTCAACTAAGCCCTTACTAAGGGGCCTCAGATTGGAGGCTTAGCTTTGGGACCGCCTGGCAAATTAGCTGTGTCTCTCCAATACACAACTTATTATGTGTTATAAAGGGATTTGGATCTAGTAGTCTACTATCTCTCTAATACTCTTCTAAGGTATACTTATACTTTTTTTTTTTTTATTAACGAAATTTACAACTGTAATTAATAATAAATACAAGAAGTAAATATGAACAAGCAATATGACATGTACAACATGAGGAGAAACAACCCATTGGTAGCACTCCATACTTATACTTAGATCATGTTTCTGATGGTTCTGGTAATATCTGAGTATTTATATAGAGGTACACCAGACTAATTTTCTCAATCTACACTATAGATAGAAAAATAACTTTATTCTGAGACAGAGTCCCTTGAGAATGACAAAATAGAACAAAATTAAAATATTACATCTGGCCAAAATAAAATCAATCGAAAAAAAGAAATAATGTAAAAAAAAAATATAAGGTAAAAATTCTATATACAAAACAAACTAAACTATATACAAAACCATTAATACTATGACGAGACACTTAAAGCTATTTGCTCTTATAGACCAGTATACACTTTTCCGAAAAAAATAAAGAATTAAAAAATAAATATGTATCAAATTCTCTATTAAAATCCGCTCGAATGGTTAGCAAGTATCTGACTGTTTTTGTGATAGGAATTGGAATAGGAGGGATTTGAATGTGGATATGGAGGGGAATGTCGAATTTTGATAGGGAGGGAATTCCAGAAATTGACAGAGCGAACAATAAAGGAATTTTGGAATGAGGCAGATCTGTGAGAAGGCATGTAAAGGTCAGAAGGTCGAGATCTTGTTGACAGGGAATGGACTGAGGATTTGAACTGGAGAAGGTTGTAGGCGTAAGAAGGACGATGGTTGTTGATGATTTGGTAGAGGAACGTACCTAGAAAATATTGTCTTCGGAAGGAGGGGAAGAGCCACCTTAACTCAGTGTAGTGGTGAGAGACATGGGAGTACCTCGGGGCACCAATAAAGTTTATCTCAATCCTTATTGGTTGGAGAGTATTTTGCTGAACATTTCTCTCGCTTACAGTATGTAGGTCCGATTTTTAGTTTCTGAGATATTTTAATCTATATCTTCAGTAAAACTCGTTATCATTCGGTTTACGACACCATTTTTTTTCCTTTTCGACTCTCCAACATGGTATCGCGTTAAGATACAATTTTGAATTATAGCTCATCAGATAATTATAACTCAGTTTGGTCATGGTCTTGGTCTTGCACAAGAGTCTCGCAACAGTCTTAAAGTACTGTATTTTGTAGATAGGAGAAACCCAACTAAGCCTAAATAAAAAATTAGAGGAATTAAATGCAAAACTATATTGGTTATACCAATTATTTACATATAGTAACTAAGATTGCCGAGTATTAGTAACTGTTTTGCCTTATTTTTTTATTAAAAACATCGATTTTTTTTACCAGTCCTGGTCTTGGTCTTGCAACAGTTAGGCGGCCTTGCACTTTGCAAGACCAAGACCGATTTCGGACTACTCATTACAAGGAAGATAAGATAGTGAACATTACCCTAGCTGACAGTATGCAGGTCCGATATTTAGTTTTTGAGATATTTTAATCCACATCCAAAAACACTTCAATTAGTCCACTCCAGCCAACTACCCGAGCGTTACACATCTGAGATCTGACGGCTCAATCTAATTAACTCTTTACAAAAAACGCCAAGGTGCAAAATACGCCTTAAAAAGTTTTCATTTCAACGAAAAAGGATTTTCACATACTTCTATATTTCCAGAGAAACAAACATTGCGGACTTTGGAAATCGCATTAGTACTAACTTATTGTAATTTTTAAAAAGTAACAAAACAAAATGGAAGAAGAAACGTTTATTTACTTAGACCAATAAGTTAAATTTTGAAAAAAAAACAACATAAAAATGCTTTAACACTCTTCGTCACTGGCGTTTTAAGACGGGCGAACACATCTCAAAAACACCAGAAAGAAACACAAACGAAAAAAACAACACATGAAATAGTAATTTGTAATTACTGTAGTTTTTTAGATATGAGAAACCTAACTAAGTCTGAATGAAAAATTAAAAGATTTAAATGCTAAAGTATATTGGTTATACCAATTCTTTACACATAGTAACTAAAATTGTCAAGTATTTGTAACTATTTTTTCTCAATATTTATTCAAAAAATCGATTTTTTTTACCAGTCCTGGTCTTGTTCTTGCAAATTCAGTCTTGATCTAGGTCTCGGTCTTGCTCAAGACTCTCGTAACGGTCTTGCAGTTACCTTTTAGCTTAATACTAGAGAGATATTACTGTAGTTTTTTAGATATGAGAAACCTAACTAAGTCTGAATGAAAAATTGGAAAATTTAAATGCTAAAGTATATTGGTTATACCAATTCTTTACACATAGTAACTAAAATTGTCAAGTATTAGTAACTATTTTTTCTCAATTTTTATTCAAAAAATCGATTTTTTCTACCAGTCCTGGACTTGGTCTTGCAAAGTGCAAGACTAAGACCAATTTCGGGCAACATTATTCAACACTGAAGAAAGGAACTATAGGCATTATAGCGGATGTTTCACCTGACTTCTGAAAACTAAACAAGAACAAATTAACGAAAAGAAAGGTCACTAGAAATTTTCTGGATGAGCGAAGAGAGAGAGAGAGACTTCACGAGTAGTTGCTTTGGCTAACTAGACTCAGTCGGATCGCATGACAGAATGTTCCGCCACGGTTTCGGCAAACTGCACAAATTACTCTAATTCCCTCTTTGTTCGAGATCCGGCCAATTTGGAGGATGTCTCCCCCCAGATAGGAGGATCTGGTACCTTCAGGATTTGGATAATAGGCGATCGCGTGTCCAGCTCATTTGTGCAGGCATCCAGGATCGTGTGGGTGGGTGGTGCTTAGAGAGCTCCAAGATCTAAAATATAAATAATAAGTTTTTAAAAGTTTTAAAGTGAAAATGTGCTTTTTACACTTTTTTTTTTTTTTTTGTTGAGAGTGATTTAGTTTGAGCCGTCATATCTATAGATGTGTAACGCTCAGGTAAATTCGGATGGAGTCGACTAATTGAAATGTTTTTGCATATGGATTAAAATATCTCAAAAACTAAATATCGGGTCTGCATACTGTCAGATAGGGAAATGTTCATAATTTCATCTTCTTTGTAATGAGCTATTATTTAAAATTGTATCTTAACGCGATGCCATGTTAGGAATGCGAAAAGGAAAACATCGTATCGTAAACTAAACGAGTTTTATTGAAGATATGGATTAAAATATATCAGAAACTAAAAATCGGACATGTATACTGTAAGTGAGGAAAATGTTCAGCATTTCATCCTCTTTAAAATGGGCTATTATTTATAATTTATATTTCATTTTATTATTATCGCTTTGTTGATGTTTTCACTTCTATCGTGTGGTCTAAAGCACACACCTTTTTTTTATTTATAAATTTATAAATTAAAAACAACCTGTAACATTATTTCGGATGTTCCATGATTACGATCAAACGAATCCAGATTTGATTGCTAAACTAAATTTAGAAATAAATTTATGGTTGGGAAATCGAGTCAATAATAAAAATAAAAAAATGTGTAATATCAATTTATTTTAGTCCAAACTTCCTTCATTTATTTGACTGATTCCCTACCTTTCTTACTTCTCTTTTCTACTCCAAGGAACTTCATCTGATTCACTGCTCCCCTGAATTTATTCTTAAGTCTTCATTCTCTTTTATCTCAAGTCTTACTATTCCAACCTTAATCAGTTCAGGGTATCCTTACTGCCGTTCTTTAATGTTATAATTCTAATTCTAAATGCTATCCTTTATTGTCCAAGGTATCTTCTTCACACAATTCTTGATTCTTTTAATACTTGTATTTATTTGTATGCTGTATGAGTTAAGCCATAAATCATTTTTTTTTTTACAACTGTTTTTCTTTAATTTTCTCAGTGATTCACTGTAGTTACGATAATCGTAAGGACTGTGAGGAGGAGATTATAGGAAATTAAAAAAAAAAATGTAAGAGATGTTTTTGCGCTATAGTCCATAGAAAAATATGTTTTTCTCTTATTACGTAGCCCCTATTTATCTACGATTTTTCTTATTATACTATACTTTGGACTATTTTTAAAAATAGGAGAGTAATCAATTTTTTTAGAAGGGAAACAAGGGCGCGCCAACGACATTTGGAAGGGATAAGCATCCTTACTGAAACGAGAAGATCCGTCAAAAACCACACTTGACAAATTTGAACCAGTTACAATACTTTTCTTACCTATTAGTCGTAGGAAAGTAAAAAAATATAAGTGGTTGCTGGAAGATTAATGATGTAAAATATTATAAGGAGTTGGTTGTGGGGTGCGGTCAAATAAATATTAAATTTTTAAAAAATAGTATTTTTAATTGTTACGCCGACGTTTCGACCCACTTTGTAGGTCTTCATCACGGCTACAAAATATAAAAGGTACCTGGTGAAAATAAAATAAATGAATTATAAATAGATATTAAATAAGAAACAGTTGTCTCATAAAGAAATAATAAAATGACATCAGAGATAGTGGGTGACAGTGTAGTTAAAATATTAAGTATTACATATATAGAAGATACAAACGAAAACAGAAAATAAGTATGAATAAAATAGAAAAACAAACGAGAATAGAGGGTGTAAGTTAAAAGTAAACAGATTGGGATAAAAGATAAGAAAGATTACATTTGATAACTGTAGCTAAACAGATAACCTTTTCCCTCCACATGTGGAGGGGACAGGATTGGTTCTGAGATCACCTGGCAAATTGTAAATAATGTATATAGGTATGTTTTATATAAGGTGTTTGTTTTACTTTTATTTCTATTTTTATTTACTTATGTGTATACATATATATATTTTTTTTCTTTACTCTTTTGTTCTTTCTTCTTATTCTTTTGTTATTACTTTATTTATTTATATTTTTGTATATACGGTATGAATGCAATCTCTGAACTCTATTATAAGTGTCCTTAAACTGTGACAAATTGTAATATTTCTGAATAAAGTGTTTAAAATACAAAATAAAAAAATAAAAAAAACAGATAAAGAAAATGAGTGTTGACGAATAAAGAAATTGAAAAATGAATAAGTAATGATCTAGTAAAGCTAAAATAAGAATAAGATAACATAATAATAAGATATCAGTGGATAACAGGTTGGTGGAGGTTACTCTTGATAATGTAGGTAAACAGATAACGGGACTAAAGGTTAATAAATAAAGAAATTGAAATTTATTTATAAATATTATGAAAAATTATTCATATTATCTTATTAATTTTTCAATTTCTTTTTTTGTTAACACTCATTTTTTCTATCTACTACATTACCTACAAAGTTGGTCGAAACGTCGGCATAACAATTAACATTTTTTTTTACATTTAGTATTTATTTCACCGCACTCCCCGACCAACTCCTTGTCATATTATATCACGGTCAACCACCTCTACATCATGATATAAAATTTTGTTTAGAATGAAATATTTTTAATAATATTATTTTTAATTTTTTTAAAAATTTTAGTTTATTAATAATCTTTTTTTCTCTGTTGCAGAGACCCTATGGACATGATGTTGATGGAACAGCACTTCATGCGCCCCCTGCGGCTCTACTCCGAACTAGACGCCGAGAACAACAACAGCGCCCTCCTTCCGGCGGTGATGCTGGAGAAAGCTCGCTCGCTGTGGCCTCCTCTGGTGGTACCCGCAAGACTTCCGCTTTGGGGACAGTGGCCCCCCGGCCTGTTACCCCCAAGACCACCTCAACTCACGTCACCCCCTTCCGGATCCGGATCTCCCAGGCCGGCGTCGCACCGCTACAGTCCTTACAGCGTCCAGGGCGTGTCTCCTGCGAGGAACTAGTCTTCTTAAAGGAATCCTTTCGACTTCAACTTAAAGATTTGGCAGGACTCGAGTCAGAGTCAATGTAAAGGGTCCACGATGAATACCTTAAACCTACCTTACAGCAACCCACACATCGAACTGACAATAATCTTCATGATGGTGGAGGAATAGTTGGAGAGTGTAGATAATGTGGTTGAGAAATTAGTTGGAGATTGCAATCACAAAAAAAAAACACAAATAATTTTTTTGAAGTGAGGATTTCTTTAGTTTGGCGATTCTTTGGATAGTAAATAATGAAACTGAGGCTTCTCATTGATGTAACACTCATTCGAGAAAAGTCAAGTAATTGTTGCATTTGGATTAAAATATCTCAGAAAGTAAAAATCGGACCTGCATACTGTAAGTGAGGAAAATTTTCAGCATTTCATCCTCTTTGTAATGAGCTATTAAAATTTATATACCGATACGACTCCATGTCACAGAGGCAAAAAGGGAAAAATATTGTGTCAAAAATCAAATACAAGAATAATAAAAATGATCAGCCAGAACAAAATTTATCAAAGTAATTCATACACAATTATAATTTTATATATTGTAAATGTAATTACTTTGTGAATATCGAACAAACAAATATTAATATTTCATATTATTAATTCCATATTTTTGATGTTTTCACTTATATCGTATGTTCTTAAGTACGCACAGTACGTTTTTTTTTAAGTTTATTTTGTGCTGAAGTTTTAGTCCAAGTTCGAAGAATGTCTCATATGATGCTCGGTTTGCTAAGGCCGAAACGTCGGCACAAAATAACATACATTATTTTTATATGCATTTTTCTATGTGTCTACAAATATCAATTGACTTTCAAACCACATCAGTCCGTGGTTCAGACATCTTTTCATCAGATAATCAACATCCATCTGAAATTTTTTATCGAGGAAAATTATTAGAAATAGTGTGTTTTCTCATTAAAATAATTAATTTGAAACTCATGTACTAAAACTCATGAATTACCATCTACACTTGTAACATGTCAAATCGATTGAGGTCGGGCCAAATGTTCCTATACTTTTCCAGGCCATCGAGGATGACCATGAGATTTGTTACTGCTCCTCTATTCTTAAAAACAGTGCAAGTGTTTTTAGAAAAAATCATAGATCATATACAATTACACTATTTGCGATATGTTCCATGTATCTTCTTGGTCAGCGAATTAAGGCGCCTACAAAAATTTAATTGTCGTCTTCAAATCCCGTTCGCGGGATTTAATAACAAACAGAAAGATAAAAAATAAAATAACTATTAATAAATTAAAATTAATTAAAGTGCAGACCTTACTCAATTGCTTAGATAACTACGGAGCGGGTTCGATTCCCGCTTGGGGACTGTAACGTCCCTATTTAGAGAATCATCGAGAGGTGAGCGACCCTGTGACTTACACCATATCTCCTGCTCTTCCAGGTTGGGAGTTGGTTATAGGGATAATCCCCTATTCCATAAAATAAAAAAAAATGGGTGAAGATTGCCAATTATCGTTCAGAAATATGACTGATGAAGAGGTTTTTCACGTGCTCTCTGGATATCTTGAAGAAGAGAACCAAACGATCACTGCTGTTCCCATAAAAGCCTTCCTAAAATTATTTTTACTTGTCATATGGTTTGAAACTTTGAAACTAGGGCCCTCGGAGGCCATTTTTTTCTCGATTTTGTGATCAAATTATCTCACGGATTCAAGCGGAAAGTAAATGGATAATCATGAGTTTTTAGTATTTTCGTAAATAGATAAATCTTTTAGTTTATATACATTATTATATACATTATTCTGTTTATTATTTTTATTTATTGTGCATAGCATAAATGAGCTACTCTATATCACTAATACTATTGTTCTTGAATGTGACAGATTGTAATATATCTCAATAAAGAAGTTTAAAAAAAAAATAGACAAAGTTTACTAAACTTCAGGTTAATTTCATAAAAAGAGGTCTGTACCGGACAATAAAGTCTTAATGAATTTCTAACCTCCTCGACAAGAAATCAATATTTAGCTTAGTTTTTTTTTTTTGGAAAATATTCATACAATCATAGGTCAAATATATGTATAATTAAGGAATCTTGTAAATCCAAACTCATTAATTTTGTTGAGAGCCATATTAATATAGTTTGCCAAAATTTTATACTAACAACCTCAAAATAAAAAAATATTATAATTATTGTTTGTAAATTAAAATTAATTTAAAAAGTGAAATATTGTTCCTATTCAATTGATAGACTTGTTAAAAATAGTTGAAGAGGTTGGGAAGTCATGATAAATTTTTTGACAAAAATTGAAACTAAAAAAAATCAAATATAATAGAAAATTCTTTTGCTCTGAAATTAATTTCCGTTAATAAAAAAATATATAATTGTAAAAGTGAAAGATTGGAAAATTTAGGAAGTAATCAGTATTCATACCTTGGATTTTCATTGTATATTTAAATAATTAAATGTTTAAACAGATATTATTTTTTGTTCTCATCTTTGATAAAAACAAATACCTCTACAATCATGTTTTTTTCTTTTAAATATGAATAATTCAAACATTCCAGATATATGTTTTGTATGTATAAGTTAATACATTTTCTATGATGAATGTCATCGTTAAATATTATTGGCTAAAGCCACGTTTATATATATCGAGAGTTCTGGTTAGTCTTTCAAAACCAGAAACAGCTGACGAATGGCCAATAATTCTATCGGAATGTTTCTAATAAATGTTTCTTACTATTTGTTTCTTTGAACTTAAATCGTGTATTTTACAAGTTATGAGTGCAATAAATACTTCAAAACGTTCTTGGAGTATAAATTACTTAAATTTAAGTTGTGTTTCAGTTCCAATTCCTCATAAAATAATTAATAATATGTTACATAAGAATTAAGACAAAAAAAAATTAGATTAATTAAAAAAAAAAAAACCACACCTTGGATAATATATATATATTTAAAATTGTACAGGTCTCAGTATTGTTTGTTAAATAATTGTGTAGGAAAATTTGTATTCTACCACGTATTTATTGTAAATTAACCGAAGAATTAATATTGTAAATATTTTAAATGTAGAAAAGCATGAGGCATTATGATGGGCCTGATTCAAACCAAAGAATTTCAGTATGTAAATAGCTATTCATAAAAATGTAGATATTTGAGACTTGAAACTTTTTGGTTGTGTTCCAAAATAGTTTCTCGTTTATTTTTAAATCTAAATAAAAATAAATAATATATATATATATATAGACAAATAAAGTTTAAAATGTGTGTACTTAATTTATTTCTATTGATAATATGTTAGTAATTATTTGTAAAGTTAATTGTACCCATGTGTGTTCCTTCCAACTTGTTTTTTTTTTCTTTCTTTTCTGTTGGATTTTTTGTTGTTGTTGCAACTTGTGTATATATCTATATATTGTGATCGTGGTGTATATATGATGTTATGGCTGTCTATTATGTATTTATCAACAATATAATATATGCAAAGAAATTAAAACGATTTTTGTGTCTTATTACATTTTATTTTCCTCAGTTGCCAAAGCAAAACTCCATATTTATAAAATAAAAAAAAACAAAAAACAGGATTCATATATAACGAAAATTCATTAGTTTTTACAGTGACTTTATATTATTACTAAATTAAAATTAGTGAAAAAATATATTCAAAAATTAAAATTTTAATGTTAGAATTGAGTAACTAAATAAATGTTAAAGCTTGTTTTCAATCTTTACACTATGTTACCACATTTAAGAGCCATAATATTAGTGAGCCAAAAAAAAATATATTTACTATCAAGGAGGTTGAATATACAATTATAATAATATACAAATACACTAGCGGATTTATAATTTAATTTTGGGGGAAGGCCTTCAGCCCGAAAGCTTTTTTTCATATATGTATAACGAATTACTGAAGGAAGCTAGTCAACTGTTCTACATATCATGGGTGATAAATAGTCATGTGATAGCAGTCATTATACAAATTTTAAAATACTTGAAAGCCTTCAGTGCTCAAACCATGCCTTGAAGATGACCCACATGTTTTGGTTGAAACGTTGACACAAATTTAAAAAAAATGTATAATGACAGCGTCCGGACTATTTATCACCCATGATTATATATATATATATATATATATATATATATATATATATATATATATATATATATATATATATATATATATATAACGATAATTAATTTGAAAAAAAGAAAGAAATTAATTACCTTTATGAAATGATGTTTAAGTAGTTCTTGAAGTTCTTTTAAATGTAATTAATTACACGAACAAGAATACTTTAAGAGGTAGTTTTTAATCTTTTTTTCTGTAAAATATGGTTATATTTTACAATTTGGGGGGAAGAGCCTCAGCCTGAAAGTCCCCTCCCCCTCGTAGATCCGTCTGTGTACAACATTCTAAATACTTTTTTGGCTACAAACTGTTACATTACAAATCCATAGAGGATTCAATAATTAAAACTGCTTTGGAGCCAAGAATAAAAATACAACTAATTTTTAACAAGACGAGGTTACGGACGTGGTGTGACCGATTTCAATGAAACGTTTTTTGGTAATATATTTTTTTTTTTTTTTAAATTTATTTATTTAGAAATATAATAATCTGTCAAGAGGACAATGATTATAGTGATATATGAACACATTCACACCATATATACAGAAAATATAAAATTAACAAAATTAAAATAATTATCAAAAACTATGTACAATAAAAAAATAAAAATAACCTAAAATAAGTAAATTTAAAAAAAACAAAAACATAATCATACCTATATATAATATTTACAATTAGGCAGAAACCCAAAGCCAGGTTTCTCCCTCCAACTATAGAAGGAAAAGCAGGACTCTAAGAGATCCATGCGCTACTCTCTCAACCGCGTCACTGGTGCTAATTGGTAATATTAAGTCGACAAATATCAGACCCATATCCGATTTGCCAATACGCTCTAGGACCACAGAAAAAAAATGTATACAATTTTATTTTTTTTTGTGTATTACGGTTTATCTGCTCTCGATGGATTTCCAAGTTATTATACATCATTCGATTTGTTTTTGTATGTAAAATAAAAAAAAATATATTGTTAATTTTATTCAAATTATTCTAATATACAACATACCTCAGTTTTTAATGGAAAACTCAGGACAGTGATTTTAGAAAAAAATTTCCAACAAATAAGTTTATTTGGTGCATGCACCGAATGGAAACGGAGTTAAGAGCAACTTTGTGTTTTTCTTAAGGCAGTCATGATTTTCATTGAATCAGAAGGAATTGCTTTAAATTTGTTCAAGATAATTAAATTCTAAGTAAACCATCGTAAAATAAACATT